ACTGGAAACAGGGAATCCAGGACGGATGATCCCTTCAGGACCAGTGGTGAGAGTGGCGATTCCGGGAGGGAGGAGGGAGGGTGGTGTAGAAAGGGGGAACCGATTATAAGGATCTACATATAACCTTCTCCCTGGGGGACAGACAACAGAAAAGTGGGTGAAGGGAGACGTTGGAGAGTGTAAGATATGACAAAATAATAAATTATCAAGGGTTCATGAGAGAGGGGGGAGCAGACAAGGGGGGGGATGAGGACCTGATGCCAGGGGCTTAAGTGGAGGAGCAGGTGCTCTGAGAATGATGAGGGCAATGAATGTACAAATGTGCTTTACACAATTGATATATGTATGGATTGTGATAAGAGTCATGAGCACCTAATAAAACGATTAAAAAAAAAAGACAGCTAGCTCCTTAAATTTTCAATAATCAAGATTTTAACTTGCAATTATAGTATTTCCTTAGCTGCATAATTATTTTGGCTTGGATTCTAGAGTCTAAGAACCAAATATTTCATCCCAATAATCATTGAAAATATTTTAAATGTTCCTAAGTGTTTCTAAAGGAGCCCTAGTGAGCTAACAAGGTCAACCATTTGAAACCTCCTTGGGGGAAAGATGGGGCTGTTTATTTCTGTAAAGAGTTATAATCTTGGAAACCCACAGGGGCTGTCCTGAAGGCTTACTAGGACTCAGAATCAACTCAATAGCCGTGAGGTTGGTGTGTCTGGAAGTGTTACTAAAGTGCTACTAATATACCATAGTAGCAAAGAAAGATACAGACAGAACACAGAATGAGACAATTTATACTCTTAAAAATGTAACATTCATAGCTTAAAAAACAAACTAATAATACTTAATTTTTATCTTATTTAGCTCTATACTTTTGTTTGTTTTCATAGGTGTGAGAGCAGGTTGATATTTTATAGTGGCAATTGCAGAGAAAGCTGAGTGGGAAGAAAAGAAAGACTTCAATTAACAACAATAAAAAAGGCCACACAATAGAAAAAACAGTGAAATCTAAAGAGAGGTAAGATGTGAGCTAAAGGTGACGCACAAAATAAGAGAAATGGGTAAATTTTCCTCTACTGCATAGATAAAATGGCATGGTTACATAAGTTTAAATAATGCCACATTTACCTACTGATGTCAGGTTCACTTTTTTCCCCCTTAATTACTTGTTTCTTTTGGCAATATTAAAAAACATTTTTTTGGTCAATAAAATGATTTTTAAAAATGTTTTGGTATGTTTCTATAACAGAATAATCCCTTCTTGATTGGATTTTTTAAACAAACAGTCTTATTGGAACATAATTCACATATCATACAATTCAATAGTTCAGTCATATCAGGAAGAATTCTATAATCACTATCACAATCAGTTTTAGAACATTTTCTTCTGTCACGTAATCCTTGTTACTAGCTCCTCATCTCCCTCCAATCTCCCCCGTCATACCCCCAAGAAGAATTTTTCACACACGCAAACAACAGCTCTGTTGGCGCAGAGGTTAAATACCTGAATGCTAAAATAAAGATTGGTAGTTTGGACCCACCAGCTATTTGCATTATAGCCTTGGGAATCCAGTTACATTCTGTCCTGTAGTGCTGCTATGAGTCAGAATCAACTTTTGACAGCACAATGGGTTTATTTTTTAAAAAAATAATATGAAATAACAATGTACTGGTATTATATATCCATTCAAATCATTTTATTGGGGGCTCGTACAACTCTTATCACAATCCATCCATCCATCCATGTGTCAAGCACATTTGTACGTTTGTTTTCATCATCATTCTCAAAACATTTTCTTTCTACTTGAGCCCTTGGTATTGGCTCCTCATTTTCCCCCTCCCTCCCCACCCACCTTTCCCTCACGAATTCTTGGTAATTTATAAATTATTATTATTTTATCATGTCTTACACTGGTATTATATTTTTTAATGAACACAAATAACTTACTACTTTAATTAACAGTCTGAATAAATATCCATACCTTGCAATAACAGATTCAATTGGCATGATATCTGGCACATAATGGGCCATGGGAGAAACAAAATGTCCGTCTAGGATCTTACAGTCTGACTGCTCTTCAATCTGAATGAAAAACAAAATCAAGATGTATGCATGTAAGTTAAGATTCCTTGAACTAGTACAGATGTTTTTCTTTCTTTTATCTTTCATTTTTGGGAAAATTAGCCTCTTTAAAAAATATTATTAATTGGTACTTAATAGAGGTTTTTATTTTTAAAAGTTATATTCATTAAAAACATCTTTCAGTACCTCTATGAATCCTTTTTCCCTCACTGCTTTATAAACACATGATTTTACCTATACACAGTTCTTTTTCCTCTACATTCTTTACTACAGTCTAGATGAGAAAATAAACTATAAGTAATTGTCATTTATATATTGAGATACAATAACTTGAAATAGAAGAATTCAATAATATGCAATGTAGAAATAATCACAAGAAAAATGTATGAACAAATTACAAGAATAATTTACTACAATCAAATAAAGGTTGACATTAATATGCTGGAATGGATCCCTATGAGGCAACTCATTGATGTAATGCTACATATCAATACATTAACTAAAGAAAGCTGAGTTATTTATGTATATAGAAAGGGCATTTGCTAACAATTATACTTACTTTTCTCTCAATTAGTTATGTCTTTAAAATAAGGAAAGAGAAAAATAAATAAATAAATAAAATAAGGAAAGAGAATTCAAAGGGGGTCAGGGCAAGCTATTGGGAAGTTTTTAAGTATCTGGAATAAAAAATTGATTATCTGAAAAGTAAACCCCTAAATTCACAACAAAAAGTTAAAAAGAAATATTTCAGATCAATAGTCCAAATAAGACATCTGGTATATTTACCAGAATTGGCAACAAACACATCTGTGGATGATGTATATACATCTAATTTTTAATTTTTTAAAGCTAACTTGCTAGTTGTGTCAATACCATTATTGGATAATCCACATTTTTGCAAATTACCTAAAAGGGAATTTTATTATGTACTAATTTTTAACATGCGGCTTTATTATCCTTTATGTGTATTTCTGAACCAATACCATCATGTCATGTTGGTAATAGCAGCTTTATAATACCTATTGATAGATGACTGAGATAGTCTTGCCTTTTTCCTTAAAAAAATTGTGGTTTGGGTGAAAGTTCATTTTTCTTTTTTTTTCTTTTTTTAGTTTTTTTTTTGGAAAGTTCATTTTTCATAAGGCAACTTATAAACATTTTTTTGGTATTAGTTGCAATCTCCACGATGTAACGACACTCTTCCCATTGCCTCCTCCTAGGGTTTCCCATTTCTGTCCACCATTTTCTGGCCCTTTCTTGACTTTTGAACTTTGCTTTTAGGCAAATGTGGCCTTTTGATCATGTATGGTTGGTTTTCTGAGGAGCGCATTCTTCACTGGTGCTACGTGCACTTATAGGCCTGCCTATTGTTAAGATGGCAGGTGACCTCGGGGAGTGGGTTTGGATCTAAATCTGAAGGATGACTATGGCCATAGTTTTGTAGTTTCCACCAGCCTTTATTAGACAAATAAATCTTGTCTTTCAAATAATTTCTTCTTTGCTCTATGTTATTCTCCCACTCTGTCTTCCTGCCCCTGAAAATAGAAGTCTGGTGGCACAGTGGGTTAAACATTGGCTGCTAACTGAAAGGTCAGTAGTTCAAACCCCCCAGCTGCTCCATGATAGGAAGATATGTCAATCTGCTACTTTGAAGATTTACATTCATGGCAGCCCTACCGGGCAGTTCTATTTTGTCCTCTAGGGTCACTATGATTAAGAATTAACTCCACAACAATGGTATGTTTTGGTTTGGTTTTGAGCCTAAAGATATAAAACGAGGTTCAAAAAGATCCAACTCCAAATACTTTCTTGTATTTAGGAATATACTATCTCTCTGCTCAAATATATGAGGACTCTTAAAAAAGTCCATGGATAAATGGAATTAAAAGATAATAGAATTTTTCCACTTTTTGATGCTTCCCTATTCATGAATGTAGTTACTATAAAGCATCTACTTAGGGTATAAATCGATATCTTTAAATGCTAAATGGAAAATCCATACCACGTTCATGTTTTAATGTTTATTATTATTTTACTTAATATTTGATCTATCTTTGACATATATTTATATTTAACCAGAATTCCCATAATTATGTTTCTTTCTTTTGAATACCTTATCAATGTAGACTGGATAATCACTTGAAACCAGATGCTGACATTTTTCTCGATTTCCAATCATCTTTCTGAATTTAAATAGTCTATCATGGGAAAGGAGGAAGCAAAAGAAAATGTTACATCTTTATACTCATTTATTGAACTGAAGAAAAATTACCCAAATTAGTGAATTTAGTCTATAAGGCATGTTAAAATTTAATCATTACAGAAAATAAATTTAGGCCTCCCCTGACCCCAATTGTATACCTCAGAGAATTATGGGAAATAACAATTAATCAGAAAGTAATGAACACATATAACACTCAAAATTTAAGAAACCAATCCTGAAACTTCATCATCTTAATCTAGATTTTCCCATGAGTATTGCTGTGTGTCTCAGTTGTGTGTGTGTGTGTGTGTGTGTGTGTGTGTGTGTGTGTTTAAAAACCCAAACTCAATGCTACCAAGTGGATTCCAACTCATAGCAACTCTATAGGACAAGGTATGACTGCCTCCCCTTTTTAAAAAATCATTTTTATTGGGGGCTCATAGAACTCTTATCACGATCCACACATACATACATCGTGTCCAGCACATCTGCACATTCGTTGCCCTCATCATTCTCAAAACATTTGCTTTCCACTTAAGCCTTTGGCATCAGCTCATTTTTCCTCTCCCTCCCCACTGCCCCGTCCCTCATGAACCCTTGATAATTTATAAATTATTATTATTTTGTCATCTCTTACACTGTCCAACGTCTCCCTTCACCCACTTCTCCACTGTCTGTCCCCCAGGGAGGAGGTTATATGTAGATCCTTGTAATCTGTTCCCCCTTTCTCCCCCACCTTCCCTCCACCCTCCCACCTGGGTTTTTGACACTAACTCTTGAAGGAAGTAGAAGCCATCTTTTTCCTATGGAGCAGCCAGTAGTTCATACTGCTAGCTTTGCATATGATAGCTCAACTTGTAAACACTAGGCCACCAGGGCTCCTCAGTGTTACAGCCATTATAAATTCTTACTACCTGAAAAAACGTAGTTTCTGGAAATCATACAAACTGTAATCAGCTTAATAACTTATGATGTTAAAAATCTAGTTGATATTTCTGAATTTTTGTTTGAAAAATGGGATTATTTTAAAAATAGTCAGAGATGAGGCTTTCTACTCTCATAAAGAATTACAGTCTCACACACACAAAAAAAAATTACAGTCTCGGAAACCCACAGCGTCAATTCTACCCTGTCCTTACAAGGTTGCTATGAGTCAGATTTGAGTTTGGCAGTGAGTTTGGAGTTCTGTTGCTAAAACTTATGAAAAGTAACAGGAAATAATCTTACAAAAATAATTTAATGCTTAATTTGTCAGGAAATCTCTCAGTTTGAGAGTAAATGATGTTATAAGTGAAATAAAATTTTAAACGTTTACTAGAACAAAATCAGACAAAAGAAATTCAGGGAAAAGAAGGTTTACCTTTTGAGATCTTCTGGCCTTCCCCATCCTCTGATAAAAAGCTTTGTGAGAAGCAGTCTCCGGTACAGAACATCTAACTTGCTCACACCCATTAGAAGTCATCAAACATCTATGAAACATAATTTCAAATGGCTTTAAAATTATTTTATTTTTATCAACACTGCAAGTTTCTGAAAATATCAGATTACTTTAATATTGACAGTGAGCTTTGAATTTAATCCCTTCTGAGTAAGATAAGATAGGGAAAATTAGAATTAAGATGAAAAAATAAAAGAAGCAGAGCCCTCAGGGATACTCAATGTACTAGATGCTGTAATGCAAGATTTTATCTTCTGCCCAGTTGACTGACAGGAAGTACCCAATTATTTGTTGAACAACAATAAGAGTGGCTAACACTAATATAAGTATTATACAGTAAAACCTGTGAATGCTAGAATCTGGGTAAGGTAGAAGCCTGTCAGAAAAAGAAAATCCAAATATTTCTCATGAAAACAAGTGATAGAAATGTGTTAAGACTATACTGTCAAACTGTACTGTACTTTTCCAGAGATGGAAAACTTCGGAGACTCCTAAAAACAAAGCAATGTTGTTGAGTTCCAGCTCTTACAGATTTTACTATACAATACTAGGTTTTATGCCAGATACTAAGCACTACTTTTAAATATGCACGTTCTCATAAAAGTGAGTGTTTTGTGTCAATTTTATAGATTTGACAAGAGAGATACAAAGATAGTTGATTTATTCACCTATAAAGTCACACACAGGTAGTGGGAGGCAGAGCTAAGATTCAACCCCGGGTAAAGGGCACAAAGATTCTCTGCTATTATATGATATTCAGTATAGTGATTACTCATTGGGGTGCAATCCATATGGTCAGCAGTTCAAAATCACCAGCAAGCAGCTTTATGGGAGAAAGACTGGGCTTTCTACTGCTGTAAACAATTAGTCTTGGAAACCCACACAGGGGGTGGCTGAGTCAGCATTAACTCAATGGCAGTGAGTTTTTTTGAGTGTACTGGAGGTTTCTTTGAGTGGTACAAACACTGGGGATGCAATTTGCTCTAATTAAAAAGTTGGAGGTTCAAGTCCAAAAAAATCAGACACTGAGAAGACAGATCTATTCTGATATACCTAGGGTTGCCATGAGCCTGAATCAATCCAATGCCAAATGTTTTAATAAATTATACTACTGTAAATGGAAGGTGAAAGAGTTCATCAGAGGTATCACTCACCTACCATTTACGTACCTTTTCCACAACTTCCTAAAGACTTTAGAGATCTACTTCTATATTTTCCACATAGAATGCTATAATTTTGATTTGAACACAAAATCTGATTCAAGTCTAAGCTTTAATCTTAGACAACAGATTTAAAATTTTTGCATTTTTATCAATGTGTTTTAATAAGTACATAGGAGCCCTTGTGCCATGTGGGCTAAGTATTGGGCTGGTAAGTATAAGGTTGGCAGTTCAAACCTACCAGACACTCTGCTGAAGGAAGATGTGGTTGCCTGCTGCATTCTGTCATATGGAGTTGCTAGGAGTCAAAATTGACTAAGTGGCAGTGGACTTGGTTTGGGAACCAGTACTTACAATTTATATTTTTGCTTTTCAACAAATTACAAGTCTAACTTAATGATCTTCATTTGCATAGGTGTACAATCAAACTCACCATCAACTGGGAGGGCAATTTAAATTGTTTTTGTGCCTGGGCAGGTAAAAACAAGTCATTCATATTGCCCCTCACAATCCCTAGGACCAAGAATAGCATTTACTTGTTAGGCAATACAGTCACAGAATATTAAGTATGAAGGAATTTCAAAATGTTCAGGGAAAATGGATTTTTGGGGTATTTTTTAATATCACCCACTTTACACACTACCCTATTTCCATGTACTATTCAATTATCTTTTATGTTTTGGTTCTTTTATAAATTTGATAAAAGATAATAAAACATTTGCCAATTTAACCATTTTTGTGTATACAATTCAGTAATATTAATTACATTTATAAGGTTATACAATCACCACCACTATTTTCTTCTAAAATGTTCATCATCCTTAAAAGAAACTCAGCATCTGCTTAAATATTTAACTCCTTCTCCTATTCCCACCAGCTCCTGGTAATAAGGAATGAACTTATATCTAATTGTTGTTGCTGCGTTGCTTCCTACCTAAAGCTACCCTGTGTACAACTGAACAAAACACTACTTGGTGTCGCTGCATCCTCGTAATTCTGTTCGAGCCTACTATTTGCAGCTACTTTGTCAATCCACCTCAATGAGGGTTTTTTTCTTTTTCACTGCTTTTCCTCTTTACTACGCATGATGTTTGTTTCTAGGGATACCTGCTGATAGCATGTCCAAAATAAGTGGACTCCTTGATTCCAATGAGCATTCTGGCTATATGTCCTCCAAGAGATTTGTTCGTTCTTCTGGCAGTCTACGGGACTTTCAATAGTCTTTGCCAGTCCCACAATCGAAATGCATTGCTTCATGTTCGGTTTTCTTCACTCAATGTTCAATTTTCACAGGCATAGGAGATGACTGAAAATACCATGGCAGGTATACCTTAGTCCTCAAAGTGACATCCTTGCTTTTCAACACTTTAGAGTGCAACTGATTCATCATGTGCAACATGTTACTTAATTTCTTTGACGACTCTTCCATGAACATTGATTGTGGATCCAAGCAAGTTGAAATCCTTGGCAACTTCAATTTTTGTTTTTATCATCATACTGTCTACTGGTCCAGTTGTGAGGATTTTTGTTTTCTTTACACTGAGTTGAACTTCACAGTGAAGGTTGCAGCCCTTGATCTTCATCAAGTGCTTCAAGTCCTCCTCACTTTCAGGAAGCAAGCTAGTGACATCTGCATATCACAGATTGTTAATAAGATCTCCAACGAGTTCTTCTAATAGTCCAGTTTCTCAGATTATTTGCTCAGCATATATCAGACAGGGCAAGGGAGAGGTGGAGATAGAGAGCATGTGGGGAGGCCACACACTATCATGGGACTACATTTCCCAGAACCTCTTGCTGGAGGAATTTTCCAAAGAATCTCTTACGTGAATGCTTTAAGAGTCAGTGTAGAACTCACTCTCACTGCCATGGAGTCAATTCTGACATGTACAGCAGGGGAATAATAAATAAGGGGACTGGCCAGGTTGGCTGGGAAGGTTTTTCTTCCTCCTAGGAGTTTCTTAGAAGCCCTGATGGTATAGTTGGTTACCTATGAGTAAAGCTGCTGAATCATATGGTGGAGTGCAGTGAATTATGTAATATGACTCATCTAGGCAGTCTTTGTAATCCTCACCAAATGATTTTTTTCCCGATGGGTCTGGATAAGAGAGTCTGGAGAAAGATACTGATAGGATTACAGGATTCAACTGAATGATTGCTAACGGGATAAATTGAGGTGGCCATCCTGGGCATAAAATGAACCATCTCAGAAGCAGGAAATGGAGATTTCACTACTAGCGAGGGAGAAGAGTCAGGAGTGGAGTGTATGTTTTGTACTCTGATATCCTTGTACATTGAACCTCCTTAACTTAGGAGCCACAGCTTTGACACCACAGGGGCGGCATCAGCAACAGAACCAAGAGCCTGAGCATGAGACAGAATGGTGGGATTCTCAGCCTGGAGAAATAAAGCTCAGCACCTTCAGGCTGAAGTTTATGAAGAAGTCACAGACCCAAAGAACTGTAACACAGCATGGGCCCACGAAAGTCAAAGACCAGCGAGGGCCTGCCTGCAGGCACAATTAGAAGTGGATGTCTTGTTTGAATATTGTATTCTGTTAACTTGCCCAATAAATAAGAACTCTGTAATTGTGAGTATTGTCTGTGAGTTGTGTATGGGCATTGTAATGAATTATGAAGCCTATCTGAAAAGCAGAGAGTGCTGTAGGAGGGCCAGGTGGTTTCAGGATAGATAAAGTTGGTGGGTGGAACCTTATCTCCCCTCAACCTCATAGATACTGGCCCTGGGCAGGTGATGCTGATAATGGAGATCTTTACCATTCCCCTTTGTGAAGTTAGAAGAGATCAGGAACCACCTCAAAGTTTGTTTTCACATGACAATTCCATGTTTAACTTTCTGAGGTGCTACCATGCTGTTTTGCCCAGCAGTTACACCAATTTACAATTCGAACAGCAGTGCATGAGGGTTCTATTATCTCCACATTGCCATTTTCCAATTTTCTGATAATAAGCTTCATAGGAGAAATGGAGTGGTATCTCACTGAGGCTTTCACTGACATTCCTTGCTGAGAAATGTTTCTATCTTCTTGCTATTGTGAATAGTGCTGCCAAGAATATGGGTTTGCATAGATCTGCTCCTGCTATGTTCTTTATTTCATTATATATTCTAAGTAGATTAGAAGGACTGCTGGGTCACATGGTATTTATATTCCCAAATGTCTGAAAAAGCGCTATCTGCTTTCCACTGATTGTACAGTTTTACAGTCCCACCCACAGTGCATGAAGGTTTCAATTGCTCTGCACCACTCCCCCATCCCCTGTCCCACAGCATTGGTTTTCTGCTTTTCAAAAAATTTTGCTTTCAATACTGGGTGAGGTGGCATATCATCATTGTTTTGATTTGTGTGTTAAGCTAGATTGAATAGAGAAGCAAATACAATAGTACTCATATATGTGAGCTTTAATCAAAAAATAATTAAATATCAAGAAAACATCCCAGGCCAGTGCAACCCAAGTCCAAAATTCTGACACTCGTCCATAAGTCTCTCTTCAGACTCATGCAGCCACGTGCAATGATGCAGGATGCAGGAATCACAGGTTGGTGGGTGCAGTCATGTGGATCCAATGGTGGTGGATGCATCACAGGGCTCCAGCAGTTTGCACGGTGGTCAGCAAGCAGAAAGGTGAAGGCAGAGAGATCTGGCCTTCAGAGAGCTATATACCTCGGTCACACCTCCAAGTAAGGTCATCAGGCTGCAACCTGACTGACAGTCTAAACTCTACTTCTATACTTTCATATATCATCAATTTGACATGAAATTATGTAACTACCACAATTTGCATCTCTCTGAGGACTACTGATCATAAGCTTCTTCATATGTTTTCTGGCCACCTGAATGTCTTCTTTGGTA